TATCGGAAAATAATGAACATATTATTTTTAATAAATCAATGCTAGATGGTACGTAATATTTGAATTGAGCTTCTTAATAAGGCTACACGTGCAATCAATTGTTAAACATAATAGTCATTAATATGAACCAAAATTAAATAAATTTGTATTTAGAGGCGAGCACTATTGCGTGGACAAACAGGTAGTAGTTTCCGATTTTGATAGGGCGTAAATTGTTGAAAAAAACAAACATTTCATTTATGTCTGGTTAAGTGAGTGCTCGGGAAATTTTAACTGAGATAAACGCGGTTTTTACAAATGTCTTTTTTTACACTACAGATTCTGCCAGTCGGATTATCAAATATGCAATTCAAAACCAATAAAAAATAAAAATAATACAATTTCTAAACATACACTATGATTATAGTATATTTAGTATTTATCGTGCTATAAACGTACGTACCTGTACTTAAATATACCAATAAACTATAGCCCTACATACAATTCCTATACATAATATCTGGAGTAAAGCGAAGAAAGAGTAACTTAATAAAAATAAAGTATATACTGAAATTGACGTAAATTCGCACACCTAATGTCCCAAGCGGTAAACCGGTTTTGCGACTTTTTAAGAGATATCTAAATGTGGTGTGATCGGCATTGTTACATACATACGTATTTTTTCCAAATTTAAACAATAAACTGTTTTAATCCTTCGAATTAGCATATACTGTATACAGTATCGGTTTACCTTTTTTAACAATCATACATACTGTTATGAAAAAAAAAATATATTATATTATTTTTCATCTTATCGGACTTGGCCCCGATCAATGCGTGTTGTCAAAGCGATCACCTGTATATGTATTTGATCACATGTAATCATTATCAATTTTTACAAAAGCCGAGTTCTTTAATCAATTAACAGGGTTTCCTTTCCACCTCCCATATAAAGTCGCAAATATCATGAGTATGTATACAAATTGCATACAAACGTTGATAAAAAATGGTTTAATACATTATGACGTAATATGACCCGATTACGTAATTTAAATGTATAATATAAAAACAATGTCTCATGTCCCGTTAAAAGAAATAACACTCGCTAAAAATGTAATTATTACGAAGATTGTGTTGATTTAGTTAAACGATAAAAGGTCAAATGTAAAAACTTCAAAGAAATATAGAATGTTTTCTTCAGTTTCAACAGAAATTTTAGCATCAGACATCAATGATTTAAAAAAAAAGGTTAAAAAACAGGTTAAACCGTTTTATTATGGGAAATTTACAAATAAGGCTATTAGTATAAGAAACGCAAACATCGCATAAAAAATGTAACGATCGATTATAAATTAGTAATTATAAATGAGAATTAAATTTAATAAATTTAATTTTTTTTGTATGAAATTGCTTATTGTTATAACAAACCACTATGATGTCAAGTAAAGCAATGCGAATTGACATGGCATTTACTAATATGAAAGATGTTCGTTCAGCTTTAAAGAGCTACTCTGTTGAAACTTCTCCTTATGAATAATTGTGCTAGTTTAACGCTATTTTTAAGCAATATTTAAGCGAAAATGATTATAACTAGCACTTCATTTATCCTTTTATCTAATAATCAGTATATAGATAACTCTAAATGTCCATAATAAAACAATCGATAATCCTACCGTTATATATGTAATCTTTTTTTAAAAATTAGGCCTTTATATGTACCCGTATAAGCGCGAAATAACGCGCAGGGGTGTAATTTCGAATTTTGGCCTAAATTAAACCTAATTCGGGCCATTATTTAAAATAACGCCCCTGCGCGTTATTTCGCGCTTATACGGTAATTATTTTTAATCCGGGCCCTCGGTAATTATTTTCATTTCCGAGCCCTTATTTGTAAATTCTCCACTTATTATTGCATGTGCATGCATGCGTATACATACCACTATGCTATGCCTCGAATTTCATTCGTACACGTATACGTACCTACGTACGTACATGCATTTTTTTATTTTATCATATATTAAAATGTCGATATTTCTTCACATAATTACATAATTAGCATGACCAAGTTGGCGGTATTAATTGCTGTTATGTATGACACTACTTAGCAAAAGAGGAAGTTTGGTGTTAGCAAAAAAGGAAGTTTTCGTTTTTGATAAACAATAAAACAAAAAAACTAAAAGATCTTAAAAACACAGATGATTTTTCGATAATCTTGCAGTATTTGAATTGAATCCATTAACTGTTAATAAGAATATACGTCTAGAGTTAAACACTAGAACCAAAATTACGGGCTCTTATTAACGCTAGCGCTAGTAAGATCCAATAAATTTGATATTAGAGCAGGAAATTATTGTATGGATTCACAAACAAGCGATTGTTTCCAATTTTTGACAAGGCGTTAAGAAACAACTTTTTACATAGTTACTATTTCTGTATTCATTTTGTATCATTACTATTTCTGTATTTATTGTTAATGTTTGAATGAATGAATAATTATTACTGGATTTAGCAGCATACTAAAATCATTTTTTTTTAAATTAATGTCTATTATTTTATGATTTGTAATTAAATTAAATTCTGTTTTATAGTGCAGTACACCTCTGTTTTTTGTTTTTTTTCTCTTAAACACCAAGGATAATAAATTAGAGAGAATCGAATATTTAATCTATTGCGAAAGATATCCTCTACATATTTGCTCTCGTTCTTCTATTTCATCATGTCAGGGGAAAATCAGACCAATACCACGTCCGAATCAATATTCAAGTTTCGCGAAATTAATATGTACACAACCGAAAAAATGAAGACTTGCTCTGAATTTGAAGACGAATTTGAAGACGAACTTGAAAAAATTCAGAGTAAGCATGATGACGAATATAAAGAGCTCGAGGATAAACACGATAATGAACGTAAAAAACTTAAGCAAAGACAAGATAATGAACGTAAAAAACTTAAGCAAAGACAAGATAATGAACGTAAAAACCTTATGAAAAGATACATCAGAAAACTTGCTTATAATCGAAATAGACAATCTTCCAGAAGACAAGGTACAAAAAGATCAGTATCTCGTTCAAGCACATATCCTACTCCTTCCTATTCCTCAAGGAAACAACGGGATATAAATCTATCTCCAACTACTAAACAACCTAGTCAGCACTTATCTTATAATATTTGCCCAAGCATTCCTTCTGGCTCTTCAAGAAAACCAACTACTGAACCACCGAGTCAGCATTTATCTTGCCATAGTTCTTCTGAAGCTAATCTCAATCTAGAAGAATATCTCAACAATGGTTTTTATGATTGTATACTCAGCACACGTATGTGCGATTGTCAACATTCCTTTTTTTATCTAATTCATTAATATGTTACATCTATCATATACTTATTATGTGCACTCGCAACACAGGTGATCCTCCAGTCTTTAACGAAATGAGATATCCGGACAATTCACCGCTCGGTTATTTAATTCCTTCTTACACATATGATTATGGTGACCAATGTTACATGCTACATATATTTACTATCATAAATCAATCCATTTTATTAACCTTTTTAAATACAATAGAAAATTCCACACTAATCTCTAGAGATGGCCAAAAGAATAGCACAGGAAGTCAGTATAGTAATGTCGATATGACTAACACAAATGATGGATCCTATTTAGATCGCATGGGTAGCTAAATAATTAGGCAAGTGTTTATCAGTATAAATTACATTTTAATATCAAACATGCACACTACAGACGCACTTATAAATAGATTTACGAAACTGATCATTTTCTTATAATCTTTCTAGACTTCGTTTTCACTGTGGTCCAAAATGTCTTTATTCTGGTATATAGTTATTTTTATAAGTTGTAGGATATTATTTATATCATATTGGATGAAATAACTATGAAAAAAAAAAATCACAAAAAAGAAAGAATTATAGTTTGGTTCTAAAACACCATAATATATTTTTTTTCGTACGGATATTTATTTCCGAGCTTTATATTGGAAATTCTACAATATTCCTTTGTTATCACTATGTTCGTTCTTATAAGGAAATATCAATTGTGTAGAATTAAAAAAAATATGAATACTGAATTAAAACTCCGTTAATAATGTACAGTATTTGATAGCAGTAAAATCGAATGCCACAATTTTAAATCGTTGGCGTTAGTCATTTAGATATACTTTATTTTATAATATGCCAAAGGAATGTACTTACTTTCATTAAAACCATTTACAATCTATTATTTCTGTATTTACTTTACATAC